TCCCTTTAAAAGCATTTTCTTCTGCAGTTTGTAGAAACACTGCTGGGACAATCAGAAATATGTTCTCATATTCCTAATATGCCACTTATTGTACCACTCTCCCCTTCTTACAGTTGTTCAATAATGCTTTCAGAATTAGGGCAATCTGATTTACTTTTGATGAAAACATTACTGGTTCATTGGAGATTCACAGGCAGATTTTCAGCTGGCTATATTCATTCAGATAAGGCATTTTAAGAGATAACACACTTCAAGCTGTGATTTGCCTTCCTTCTATCTTCCCCTTTGCACTTCTTATTTCTTCCTAGATATGAATTTTGAACTACTGTTGAGGGTGTGCTATGAGGATGTGGGTTTACTTGAAAATTGGTAATATTAACTGTCAGATTCTGAAATACAGATGACTGAATATCAACTGCATTTTAATTGTTGTATAGATAATAGAATAACTTTCCCATTGATCTACACTGGTAGTAATTACCATAGCTGTTCCTAATAAAGTTGGTGAGATTTGAAAAATGTATTTTCATTTCTTCTCTTTCAGTTTCTCACTTGGATCTCCAAATGGTAAGGCATTCTACTAGGAGAGTTTTCATGTCTTTCTTATGAGCTGTTGTGAGGTGACTTTGCACTGAAGTTTTCAGTTCCTGCATCTGGTGGCACAAATGAAATGTTGTAAGTGCTTTTATGACTTTTTTTTTTTCATCTTTAACGTTCACATTTAATACTAGGTAGTGGAACTGTACCTGTATTTCCCTACCAATGTCAGAGGTTACATCCTGAGAGTTTCATATTAGACACCCGGGCAAGAAAAATCTACTGGAAGGGCAGGGCAGCACTGCAACAGGGTACCAAGAAGGTTGTGAAATGTCCTTGGAGATTTTCAAGTTTTGGCTAGACAAAGCCAGAGATGACCTTTTCTAGTGTTGGTTATAGCCTGATTCCATGTAGGAATTGACCTGTATGAACTCCATTGACCACCCCCTCAAGCAGCACTTCTGTCTTGGAAGTGGAAATGCTGTGACTGCTTAAAACAGCCACTATTGCAAGGGCTGTGTATATGGATAACCTTCCTGGAGAATTAGTGCCTCTGGACTTGTCAATTTTCAGGAACTGCTCAATATCACACCAACATCCTATGATTAGAAGGGATGATGATGAAGCTGGTCACTCCTCTTATGTAGTTAATACAGTACAGAGAAGTGTATCACAAACCAGAGCCTCATTTTCATAGCTTATTTTATTCTCACAAGGAGTTGCACCAACATTTACTCTGGATTGCTTGCAAATTACATGGCTGTGTCCTCCTGACCTGAGTCACACAGCACAGTTTGGGCAAGGAACAAGGAACTTAACCTAGGGATTTTTCAGCCAGTCTTTAAACCTCATACATCACTACATTATCATAAAACGGCAGGTATTAATTGAATTATAACCTTATATTATCTTCATCTGTGTAAACTCATTGTTTCCTCTTTGCTATAGCCAAATGTGTTATTCCTGCTACACCTCAGCACAACTGATAAAGTTATTACAAAGAACAGTACAGTCCTTCTGTTCTCACATTTCACTATTTCACATTTCACTAAGGCAACTCACTAACAAAATTATTTGAATTGTGTGGTCTCCTCAAATGTCTTTACTACAGTAGGTGGTCCTTGATGTCTTATTGAGATTCATCAGTGAATGCAGAAAAAGAATAACTTCCTTTTTATATTTTTTCTAATGCTGATAAATCAAAAATGTTGATAGGCTAAATTTTAAATACTTCTTACAGAAATCTGCAGCAAAGAGTATAGTTGCAACTTTAGAGAAGACTGTATAAAATGAAATGCTTAGGTGGATTTAAAAAAACCCTTAAAATAGCATTTATCATATTTTTCTCTTAGTGGGTATGCCATCATACTTGTGTATGCTAATGTTGTTTCTGCTGCTCAAATAAAGCACTCCATGCAGTGTTGCAGCTAACAGTGAGCAAACTCAATACTTTACTATGACATCTCTATTGTACTTTGCATTTTACCTCCTGTTTGATACAGATAAATTCTTTAGCTGTGCCACATTTTTCCTCAAGATTGGGCAGATCAGTGAGGGCCATAAAATATTAATCACAAAAGCTTAGAGAATTAGATGTCTGTGACTGTAGGTTTGTCTTGTTGGCAAATCGTTCTCAGTCTAAACTATTTCTCTTTTTTAACTCCAACAGAAATGATGCACTGTAAAAGATATTATGTCAGTTCAGATTAAAATATATGTGGTTTTTCAGACCAGAAAAAGGGTTTGATTTTTTTATTCAATGCTGCAAGTTTATTTAAGAATTTTTCACATGCTTTAGTACTTTTGTTGTCAAAAGCAGACCTGATTGCAAGAATGCCATTTGCTTTGATTTTTCCAGTTATGACACTGTCCTGCAGATCACATGGAGGCAGAATAAAGGACAGAAGTATGGAGAAAGAAAATTATAGCTTTTTTGTTAACTTGTGCCACTATAGGGAAAAGGTGCTTAACGAGGTAGTTGCCATGGTGGGTACAATGAGTGTTACAGAAGCTCTTGAGAGAACTCTAGTTTTTGACTAGGCCCTGTTATTTGGGGATTGATGGGAAGTGATCACTCCCTCTTCCTTTCCAATACTCTTTCTAACCTATGTGTTTGGGGCTTGCTTACATTAAACTAAAAGCTATCAGAATTTCTGTCCCAAACATGGAGGATTGAGTGGACCTTTTCTTTGCTTGAGAGATGTTTTATCTTCCTTGTTACACTGCTTGTATTTCTTGGTTTATTTCTTCTTCATTTAACTACTGTTAACATGGGTTAGTTAAATAGAAATAATTCTAAGTCTGAAGAGGCGGCCATTTTTTTTCAAATTAATATTAGCCTGTGCTGGGTAGATTTTAATGAATTATCCATAAAGCAGCATAAATGGAAATGGGTATCCTGACTCTGCAATGAACAATAAAAGTCATTACACAAGAGCAGGTAATGTTAAAAGTCCTTGAATGACAATAAGCTGTATCTAATTATTAGTCTGTGACAATGTGGATTTTTACATCCTTGAAAATTAATTGTATAGCACTAGGAAGAATTTGCATTTTTCCTCCTACTTGACTCATGCTGCTTGTCATGCATTTGTTATTTCTCCTTTACTTACTACTGTGATGGGATTCTACCACTCTGCTTCAAAATTTGGAGAAAATGGCTCTACATTTCTAGACTTCTCAAAATCTACAGCAGTATCTTAAGACAGGAGTCATCTTACCTAACTTTACTCTTGAAAAAGTGGAGTAAATGGAAAGAGTTTACCTATTCAGAGCACCTTTCTGAAACAGCTATGTTAGCATACATTTGATTACTTTATAATGAGTACCTATGTAAGCAGCATGGATTATATGACTAATGTTTAGGTGACTAAAACCAGAGGATGAATTCTTTTCTAATGGTTGAAAGTGTTGCAGTTTCTGCTCACAGTACTATCAACTGGCTTCAAGGTACTGCGTTCACAGCACAAAGTGTGGGAAACAGTGACACAATGATTAATTCTTGGGTCTGTGCCTTGTCTAGGCATGGTACTACATTAGTAATCCCAGACTGTCTTTTTGATTATCCTATAAAAAGTTTTCCCACAAATTTCCTTGTTAAATGTATATATCCACCAACAACTGGGACTCAAATCTTGTGATCTCTGTCCCAGACTCTCTCAAATTTACTATCCAATATTGTGTCCATTCTGTCCATTTCTATAGTTCCTTGTAAATCAGGAATTCGACAGTCCTTCAGTCCCTGAGGCACACCCAGGAGATGCCAAATTTGATGACGTTTCTGGGCTCCCCATACATTTTGCTTATTGTCAGTACCTTCACATGTGTGCTGCTGATGGTTTGCTTAGAGTATTTCCAAAAGTCATAAGGAGTGAGGAGCTTCTGGTGAGACATAAGCAGGACAGTCTGGCACTCTGCTGGAAGTTCCACTGTTGTGGAACACTTTTGCAGTATACTTTCCATTCTTATGAGTAGACTTTTCTCAAAATGTTAGAAAAGGAATGTGAGTTTCAAGACTTGCTGCTTTCTGGAAGACACCCTAATATTCTTCTTGAGATGACCAGAAACCCTGTTGTACAAAACAGCTCTGTTCCGTGTCCAATGTGCTTAACAGATCTGAGCTAAGGTGACAGTGATGGCTAAGAACACTAATCCATGGTATATAATTGGTGTCATCCCTACCAAAGTCTCATTTTTTTTAACCTTGTCTTTCATCTGGTAAAATAAAGAAAAAAGGAAAAGCAGCTTTCCTTTAGTCTAGAGTAGAATGAAACACCAAGTTATATGTTTCACAAACACAAGAAGAATCAAGAAGTTTACTATGCCATGTTGGCCTTTTGCATAGTGTTAAATTAAATCACACATTGCTCAGACTTTCTAATTAACAGTATGCTATGTGGAGGAAGTCTTTCAGTAATTAACCTTTCAGTTAATCAAAGCACATTTTCTGCTTCCCTCCATCTTAAATCTATTTCATGGTTTTTTTCTTCCTTTATTTCTTATAATTTACTTTGTGGTCTAGATCTTGCCTTTGAAATACTAAGATCAAATCCCTGTTTCACAGCCATCAAAATTTTAAGCTACACTGTAAGATAGCAGAGAAGGGTAAAGCCTATTTTAATTCTAATATTTCTGAACTAAAATATCATTCTAGTATGATAGAAAAATAACTCCCATGAGACACTTTTCTTGGTTGAAATCATATGCACTAATAAAGATGTTCTGCTTTTCATTCAAAATCAAGTTATTCATTGCAGGAATGTAGAAGTCTTTTTGTAAAGGGAGACATAATTGCGGCTTATGTATACAATAGAACTTAATCAAACTGAAAACTGAGCTCACATATCACCTGCAGATTTTCTCTTCATTTTCCACAATGTTTCAAATTCTTAAACATTTCTTAGGTTATAATTTTTGTCATTGTCTCCTATAAAAATACGGAGTCATTTATAAAGTGCTGTTCAAACAGGAGGCTTACAAGACAACATATACAGATTTCAAAGCAAAAAGAGGTCAGATAAAAATCTCTGAAAGAATTGTCTGTTTAATAAAGTAATTTTAAAAACTGCAAACTCTTTGAAAAATATAGTTTTCTCCAGCAAAGAGCAATTTTTTTTCTCTCTTGTATCCACTTATGGAAGTAGAATAATGTATTTCAACTTGACTACATGGAAGAGAGTAATTGCCAAATAGTCAGCCTAAGTGATCTGCTAGTTGATGTTTTATCAATATTTTTGCTGAATTAATTAATTATTACCTCATCTATGTGTGTTTCCATATTTTTAACTCACATAAACTTAGAAAAGCCTACAAATAATCTTCTAAAGAGGGAACATGTAGAGACAGAACTAGGGGAAATGGACTCAAACTGAAATAGGGCAGGTTTAGACTAGATATTAGGAAGAAATTATTTACTGTGAGGGTGGGGAGGCACTGAAACAGGTTTCCAGAGAAGCTTTGGATGCCTCATCCCTGGAAATGTTCAAGGCCAGGTTGGATGGAACTCTGAGTAGCCTGGTCTAGTGAAAGGT